ATTTCATTAAGCATAAGATACCTAATTAAGGTACTTTAACTGTGAAAGGCAGAATATTATTTTTAAGAATTTAACTAGTTAAAAATTTTATTAATAAAAATCTTTGAAATAGCGAGATAAGAAATAAGAAAAAAATCAAGATCTCTTGGAAATCATTGTATTCTCGATATTAAATAATCGCGATTTTCAGTCAAGAATAAAAATGTTTGTGTTGAAAAATATTCAAATACTTATTTCGCTATTCAGAATTCTGATAAAAATTAAATTTTCATTATCTCCTCGATGAAAACAATAAATAATGAAAACGTTGAACGTTTTAACTCATACAAACGAGAACTCTTCATCAAACAAATAAAATTGCGGTTAACATTGTGGACAATTTATTTACTTTATCGGCATGGATGAGTTTTTTTCTTTTTTTTTAGATGGAAGTCGGGCAATCATATGATTTATATACAAATGCACGCATGTGCACACATGGTGCAAGTAAGCAGGTCGCGTGGGTAGGTGGATCGATGAACGTTCAAAAATCGCGAGATTAATCTGCGCTTCGGTGAAGAACGGATAAAGCGGCGTAGAAACTGGTTTCTCTTTGATATAATTATAACGTACGCGATAATATGCAAATACATTCTTTGTCTTTAATTTGTTCAAACAAAAATATGAAACATTTAACATCTTGTAAATGATTAACATTTTTCACGATATTTTTTATTTCGAATATAAAATAATTCGATCATCGATTTTTATTCACTATGCTTAAAAAAGCATAGAATTATAATAATCTAAAATGGTTGAATTCAAAATTTTTGATAAAACAAATATAAAATATACATAATTGTGTAATGTATAATAAAATTTAAGAAAAAAAAATAAAACTATTATTTACCTCTCTCAAAATAAATTGTAAAAGTAATATTTCGACATTTCAATTTTATTTAAAAAAAGAAAACTTTTTGAGAAAAACACTTATTAGATGTTTTTAGAAACACTTATTATATATATTATCGTATTATAATTTATAATTTATGATAATTTGGTATATCTATTTACAGATAATATTAAATCTATATTTTGTTTTATTGAAAAAAAAAAATCAAATTACTGAAAAGTTTACACGGATATTAAATTTTCACTTCACACATCAAGTATAATCGAAGGATCACGTCAAGTCGAAATACGGCAGAAGGGATCATTGCAAGCAACTTTCTATTTCTTCGCGAAACATAACGTACTATTGTACTATGTAAATGTCGGCCCACATGTCGACACGACTTCCATCGAAAGGTTTCATAAACCTTACTAACGATACTTCTGTTGACCTATCCGCACGAATAACACTTTCCATGTCAACTGGTGGAAAGTTTAATGCACAAAAGTGATTTTCGCAATTTACAATCCAAAGAAACGAGATAATTATCCCGATGATAAAATCTTCATGCCACGTATTACGTATCTCGTTCATTTCCTAATTAGATTCTTTCGTATCATGAAGTACAAAACGCTTCGTATATTTACACTCGTGCTAGATTAAAAGGATGGAGGACGTAGCCAAGCGAGCCACCTTAGAGGGCAAATGGGATATCGTTAGAACAGTGGTTCTCAACAAGCGGACCATTTATTTCAATATATTTACATTTACATTGTCATAGAATTGTAATAGAAATATATAATGTAGTAATGATATAATAATGTAAATATAATGATATTGATTCAAAGGCAGTGAGAGCCTGTGTTAATTCGTTTAATTAATTCTTTATCTTATTATTGGATTTCTTTGTAAATACATTTTTTTTGATACGATGATTGAATATTATAAAATCCGATTACGATATTCAATTTTTTGTATATAATAATTTTACATAGATAAATCTATGTAATAAAGTTATAACTTTGTGTAATATTGCACAATTTGAAATATATTTTCAATAACACGACATATACTTTTTACATAACGAATTATTTAATTCGATTATTAATAAATCGTTTTAAAATTGCATAAAAATTTACAATCTTTTCGTTATATTACTTGTTACTTATTAACACTTATTGTGACAACTCGAGAAAGGTTTGAGAACACCGAGTTTAGAGCAAGCTCGGTGTACATTTATTCCGTCTAACGTATCCGAGCAACGATCTCTAAAAACAAAAGGGATCAGGATGGTAAAGAAGGGTTTGGTCGACCCCTACAGGTGCCACCTAGGGCTTTTATTCAGTTACACATTCATAAGTGATGACAAAGAGTCGTTGCGCAGGGGGCTTTTAACGAGGGGTCGAATAAAACTCAGTTTTTCCCCGTCACACCCTTAATTAAAAATATCTCCTTCGTTGCGAATTAATGATTTCGTCTCTGTTGTCGAGTGCAATCGAAAATAGAACTGCGAACTTTCGAAACTAGAAGTAGAACTGCGCGCTTCGTGGGAAAATAACATAGATTCGTGAAATAAATGTTAGAGGATTAAAAATAAAGTTTCATGCATAATCGTCGTTAATTTTATTCGCGAAATAAATGTCGGAGGATTGAAATAAAATTGGTGGAACGTAGTCGTCTTAACCTTTTTTCATAGGTGCAACATCCGGTTGAGGTTAAGTGTAAAACGTTTAACGTTACACTTGCTAGTTACTAATTAAGGAGTTGGTAGAGAAAAATAGCGGTACATTCACCGGCAGTGTGCTCCTCGTTTGGCCATGCTCGTATCGTTAACACTGTCTCGCATTTAAATACGAATATACTTTTATTACATTTAGAATTTATATAATTATCTCGTTTCTTCATTCGTTAATATAACGTAATATTTTAATACGATGCATGAAGCTATTAAATTCTGTTTTAATTCTATCTTCCTATATATGGAAATTAGGTTAGGTTAGGTTAGAATCTCAAAAATACTTACTTTTTTACTATACAGAATTTAATCAGAATTCCGTCCGGAACATTCCATATTTTCGAAATGATTTAAACAAAAATGCAACTAAAAGTGATTTTTAATTGAAAGAATTTTTTTTATGAAGAATCAACGAATCGTTTGATTATCCTATTTGAAGCGTAATTATAAAAGAATTACAATGAAGTCATCAAAACATATCGATTTTCCAATATTATTACAAGTTAACGTGAAAGAAATTGTCACAATATATCTTTCAAATCATGAATACAAAGAAAGAAAGAAAAAAATAAATAAATAAAACGTGTAATAATTCATTCACATTTCTTCAATTAGCCTCGTGAATTAGTGAACACGTAACGTATAATTGCAAAGCATGTTAGCATTTTCTTTCTTCGATAAGACATCTCTCGTGTTTTTCCTTTAATTTCTTAATCACAAGGGAAGAGAAAGGGGAAAAAAAAACAAGGAAGCGTAGATCCTCGATCGTTGCAAATTTACACTCGTATGCACACTCCACAAACACCGTTTTCTCACCGTTTCACTCATACTCACCGCGGTGTACTCCTTGCGCGACCAGTCCGCTAATTATCGTCGCGTGTTGACCCTGAGAGAACGATAAGAGGCAACAACCGGGGCAAGTTAATCGGGGCCAATGGGATCCTTAGGGGGGAAAAGAAAGGAAGGAGTCAAGGCGAGGCTGTGCAGTCGATGCACTCGTTGCGATTCTTTAACTCGATTCAGCGATATATCGGTCACGAGATCGTTCCATCGTGTCGTATGCTTCGATTTCGATTTCGATCGAATGGATTAAAAATACGCTATATTTTTGGATGGATTGGATGGATTTAAATGCATGCGAGTGGCTGAAAAATTTTCCTGTAAATTTGCATAAATTGCAATTACGAGTTTCGATTAAATGCTCCCTTATGCAAGGATTAAGTATATTTTAATTCGCTTGATTCCGATTTCGCAATTTCGATTTCATACATGGATTAGATCCACGTGTGAGATACATTGTAAGTGGCGTGAAATTTTATTTCGCGATAAATTTTATTTATGTTTGTTTTCGTAAGGTAAATTTACATGGAAGATAATGTACTTAGTTAATTAAGTTGATAATTTGCGCGACAAGACATTTTTTATTTACGTCAATATCGTTAAGTATGTTACGAAAATTGGTTCCATTAACTTCGCAATTTAAAAAAAAATTTATCTCTTAATTAATTTCCGAAAAAGTAATACAATTAAACGAAACTCGTAAAATAACTGATTTCGATAGTGAAACGAAACACATCTGAGTGGGCTAACTGGGAATAGGAACGACTTCCTGCAATAACAATTCTATTACTCATTCTATTACTCAACGTGATAAATGTCTAACTCGATCATTTGTAACCGTCCATCTTCGTCTTCCACACGAATCTACAAAAAGAAAAAAAAAAAATAGAACAAATTTATTTCCATTTCGTTCAGCCAATATTTTCACTTCGACAAGGTTAATTTGACACAAAGTTAACTACTCGTTACACTACGAATTCATCACCTCGTGTTCCTAACCTCAATCGAATTTTTCATCGAATCGTCGGTGTTTCAATTACCTCGTGTTGTCGATTCGATCGAAATTACCGTTTGTGAGACGTGAACACCACCGTTTTACGTATTCGTGCTTCGATTTGCAAAATTGCGAAAGATCAAAGAAGATACGTGCATCTAGATCACATCGACGAATTGGATCGAATATTCATCCCGTTAACGATGGCCACGCCATCTTTCCACTCGACGTTGCAAATTACTTTCCACTCTCTACCGTTTCTCACCGTTCTATCGCGAAACCGTCGCTTTTCGTTCAATCGGAACCATCAACCTCCTCCTCTATGCATTTACAAACGTTCGTTCTTCGTTTTGCTCCACGAGTTTATCGACCAGCTCGATGGATCAATACATTTTTGCCATATTTGCCATATTTAAAGGAAGGAAGATAATAATAATAAGGTTGGAATTATTAATTTTATTTGTATAACTGTAACTCACAATATTTGAATATTTAAAATTTCTCGAAATCGTATTTCTCGAAGTAGCAAAAATCTAAAACGAAATCTACGATTATTCCAGGTAATTAGAGAGCGGTGAACGTTCTGAGAGGAAGAAAATGCCGCTTCCTAAGCGACTGGTGGAGCCGGTGCTCGTCGCACGGGGCACCATCCCTGAGAACTTTCCTCTCCCCTCAGAGTTGGAGGCTGTAACGAATGGCACGTTGGCCAACACGATCAGGCAACTGTCCAGTTTGTCGAGGCACGCCGAGGATCTGTTTGGCGAGCTCGCGAGGGAAGCTCACGGGTTGAGCGACAGGGCCAACTCTTTACAGGCCAGGATAGATCGGCTAGCCGTCAAAGTTACTCAGCTCGACAGCAACGTCGAGGAAGGTTCGTTAATTGGCTGATTAATTATGCGGCTTGGGATTAACCTTTTGACCGAGACATCCACGACACGTATTCGATCTAACAGTAGAGTATTCGTTGTGTTGGTGAAAATAACTTTTTGAAAATAACAGATTTGAGAAAAGAAAAGTGATTGATTGTTACTAGTCGTCGAGTATGTTTCTTTTGCAAGGTGTTATATTGTAGTTTTTCCCCCTCCTCCTTTTTCAGTTTCGCTACAAGATATACACATGAGGAAAGCGTTCAAAAGTTCGGTGGTGTTCGACCAACAAGTCGTTTCCAGGGACACCATGCCAACGGCCATGTTGGAAACTTACCATCAATGCGATACGCCACCACCGCTCGATAAACTTAACGTTTACAGGTATTTTCGAACGTTTTTATCGAACGTTGAAGATTGGATTTTTTTTATTTCGAGAATTAAAGCAAAAATAATGATATTAAATTGATTAAATGATGATTAAATGATACATTATCGATTGTAGGGAAGACGGCAAAGATGGGCTAAAATTTTACACGGATCCGAATTATTTCTTTGATCTCTGGAGTCAGGAGATGCTCAAAGATACCGAGAAGAAGTTACACGATCGAGGGAAAAAGGTAAACGAATATTTCTTCCTTTTAGAATTTTTTTTCTCTCTTTACACGTGCACCTCGATTTTCTTCTTTATTTTTCTTTTTTTTCTCTCTCTCTCTCTCTCTGTTTTTTCTTCAGAGGATAAGGATGTTCTCGAACCTCGTTATTATTTTTGTAAGCATTTTTTTTTTTATTCAAAATATATTCAAACATATTACGTAACACGCGATAGATATAAGACACTTTTCTCTCGAGGTGCGCGAGATAACACGAGATACGATAGTTATTATTTTTTTTTTTTTTCTATAGTTGTATTATGATATAATATACATACGATTCTAACGATTGAAAATGTCCCGTTCGTTATAGACCGAGTCTGAATATGCCGAACCGTTCAGAGAGGCAAGTCGATGGTTTGGATCTTTGTAGTTTTTTTATTACCCTTACCCAGTTTTTTAATGAATTATTATCGATCGCCAACCACTCACTCATACATAATCAAGCTCACTTCTTTGTGGATTTTCATTAACCGACCTTTTTGCGCTGATAGAAGATTGCGCTGATAGATGCTCGCTTTGAAAGTTTGTAGTTTACATTGCTAGGATTAGCCAACGTCATCAAACACATTCTTCAATGTTCGACCTTGGCAAAGAATTTTTATTACGTAGACCGAATGATACGTTTAACTCTTTACCTTTTTATATTCTTTTTTTCTTTTCTTTTTTTTTTTAATTCTAACAAGAATTTTCCTTCAAGTTTTTATTTCCATACGTATACCTTAGAGCCAAATTGTTAACAAGTCATTTATTTGTAAATTTTACAAAAAAGGAAATTAAAGTTGATGCAAATATTTTATTCAATTCATTTTGGCTTTAAGGTATTAATATTTTGTTCTTTTTTTTTTTTGTACCAATTTATCAATTTAAAACATTCGATCTACGCAGAAAAAGCCCTTGATCGTTACCCCCTATTTTTGTAAGATAAATTGTTTTCAAAGTCGAATAGTTTGTCTCACTTATCATTTCATTTTATCGATCACTTTGTAATGCCATTCTGTGCCAACCATGCAACTTTTGGATGTACTCAATAGAAGTTTTTCATCATCATTCATCGAGCCATCAATTATATAATATTGGTACAAAGTTTCACGATCTCTGATCATTTCCAGGATTGTTTTTTTTTTTTTTTTATTTTTTTGATATATCATATTTCACTGTCGTGGGAAATAAAATTGTAAATACATTGTCAGAAACAACTTTTCAAATTTATTGTTTTTTTATATGATTTAAAATATTCTCTCTTATTTTTATTGCGAGCCCCATTAATAATCCATTATTATTGGTAAAAGTCATTTTTATTTCCTACAAATTTCCTTCATGTTCAATGGTTGATCCCGTTTTTTTTTTTCTTCTAAAAATTACATTTCATTTAATAAAGAGAGCAAAATTAAAATATATTATGTAAATAAACAATTTTTAAATATCTACAATTATTATAACAGGATCAACCATCGAGTCATATTTGATTGATAAATTTAAGCTTGTCTTGCACTTTTGCTATTACCTTGTAATAAGGCAGCCGTTTAACAAAGAATTTTTATTATACAGCCGCATAGGCCTCGGAACGAGGGTGGCGGTGGTGGTGGTGGCAGGCATAAGAAGCGTATAAGGCAACCGCATAATACTAGAGAAAGGCAAAGACAATTAGCCGTTGGCCACGGCGAGTATATTATGCCAACACAAGGCGTCCAATACAGGGCACCGCACAATATTCAAGATGAATCGTTGCTGGATATGGTGATGACTGGATACGGTGCGCCACGGCCACCCAGGCCAAACAGTATTGAGCTTAGACGAAGTTATCCACCAGAGGAGCAACATCTCTATAGCCCTCCATCCTCTGATCATTATAGGTAATTTTCTACAATTTTGTATTTATCTACAAACTTGTTAACACATATTGTATAATTAGAAAAATAAACATATATATTATTGTATAATAATATTTTTTTTTCTTTGGAAACAGGGTAGCAAATTTTGTGGCTCAGGGTTATGAAGAGAATTTGTATGGATCGCATTATGGCACGGGGCAAGGACAGGCAGGTAGTGAAACGTATCAGAGTCCTGGTGGTCAAAGTACTCCAAGCAGAGGTGGTCGATCACGACCATCGCAACCACCTCCAGCCCCTCCGAGTAACACTTCTAGCAATTCTACGCCCACTGTAGCCTCTGCCAACAACACCCCAACGCGGGGAAGATCAATGAGTACTGGTAGAGACACCCTTCCACCACCACCTCCTCCTCCTGGTGAAACTATGTCTCCTCCTCCTATGAATGGTAATTTTATGATTACGTTAATATTTATTCTTGCAACTAGTGAAATCTAACCTCTATCCGCAATATATATATGTAATTAATTGTATTATTTCAGGTTCAATACCGTCGCATCTACTGAATAGAAATGGAAGTCGTTCAAACAGTCCATTACCCAGTCATCACTCCACGCCTACCCCACCAAATCATTCAACGCAAATAGGAACAGATGAAACTGATCCTGCCCCGCAAGACTTGCCACCCCCACCTCCTACTCCCGATCCTACACCTCCTAGGCCTATTTCTCCGCCGTGTAATATTCCACCTCCACCTCCACCACCTCCACCACCGCCTGTTGCTAATGGACCCTCGCCTCCGGTGCCATTGACCAATGGCGATATTGCTAAAATGATAGCAACTAATCCACCCAAGTTGAAACCTTTGAAACCCTTGAAAAATATCGTGGACGGACAATTGAGGAAGCCCGTTAACCCAAACATCCCTCTTGTCGATCCGCGAAATGATCTACTTAAAGCAATTAGAGATGGTAATTATCTTATTATTTGATTTATTGAAATTAATCCTTTGCTGTTTATTTGATACAATAGATTGAGAATAGATACAGTCTATTTTAAATAATTTATTTAAACATTTTTTGATTTAATTTAAAAGATCATGTTTTTGATCAAAATGTCAAATATTATATTTAACTTGTAAATTTAATTTATATATATTTAGTAATTTTTAATATGAAGTGAAAAATATTTTGTAAATTTGTTTAATTTAAATTATATTTAGGAGTTGAGTTAAATTTCTCTTCTAAATTTTAGAATTAAAAATCTATTTATTTTTTTCAGGGATAAAATTACGTAAAGTAGAGAAAATTGAACAAAAGGAAGTGGAACGCGTGAACGCGTTGAACGACGTTGCATCCATATTGGCGCGACGAGTTGCTGTAGAATTTAGCGACAGTGATTCAGCATCGGAAAGCGAATGTGACAGTGAAGGATGGGGCGAGCAGGAAACGAATCTCGCGTGACCCAACTCTCTTCCATCTACTGCCACTGCCTCCTAGAGAAATGGCTGACGATTCTTTCGTTTCGTTCATTTTCAACGAAAGTTCGATTTCTGTTGTTGCTCGTCGCATAAGCCACACACTTTGTTCGCGTATAAAAAAGGAATAGAAATAATTTGATTTGAAGTTGGCGTGCATCGAAGAGACATCAGATTCAAAAGTAGAAACGAAACGAACGAATTTCGTTTCTCGATTGTTTATGTTGAGTTTTGTTAATATAGAGAGCATATAAGCGCGAATTATTTTAAATAGTTTCATTAAAAGTATAAGTGTAGTATTATAAGAATAATTATTTTTATTATGCACCATTTTATTACCTTTAACAGGGTTATTTTTTTTTTTTTGTTATCAAAGAATATTTAATAACTCTTTTTTTTTTTGTATAAAGTAAATAAAAAGGTTAATTTGTTTTCATGTTAATTACAAGGCTCAATTTTATAACATATATTTATCTGAAGAGTATGATATTCTAAATATTTAGCTTTTCTTAGACGATTCTAGGAATCGTCAGCCAGAGATCTTTTATTTATTGAGAGAGTTTATGAAGTGAATGTAACGGAAGTCTAAGTTCATGTAAATTTAGAATATTTTTGAGGAGCTATATATTACATTATTTTTTTTTTTTTTTTTTTCTTTATTGACAAACGCTTTCAGTTTTTTTTTTTGTTATCAAAGAATATTTAATAACTCTTTTTTTTTTTGTTATCAAAGAATATTTAATAACTCTTTTTTTTTTTGTTATCAAAGAATATTTAATAACTCTTTTTTTTTTTGTTATCAAAGAATATTTAATAACTCTTTTTTTTTTTGTTATCAAAGAATATTTAATAACTCTTTTTTTTTTTGTATAAAGAAAAAAAAAAAAAAATTAACTTTTTTTTTTTTTTTTTTTTCTTTATTGACAAACGCTTTCAGTTTGTTTCATTGTTACAAATAATAAAAGTATAAAAGTTTACGAAATATATATAATTGCATGTTTTTTTCGATTTTCCGATTTCTAAGCAGAATTCAACGAACGTAAGACAGATTATCTAGAGTAATAAAAAAAGACACGTGAATAAAAAAAAGTACGCACATGAAATCAGGCGTCGATTTCCTATCATTGCTCGATGTCGAACACAGAGTGATTTCTTTTCGACACATTCCATGATAATATTAATATCACGTAACAAGAATAAATTTGTTTATTTCATATTCGATCGTCTATTGTTATGATGACGATATATATATATATATATATATAAACCTTTAGTTAAAAAAATCGACTGCTCCATATATGTTATAATATATTGTATGTGACAGTGCATATTGTACGTGAACTAAACCAAACTCAGAGTTAATATTTTTGTTTCTTCTTTTTGTGTATAACTCTGTACAATACCTGTATCTTAAATGTTTTTGTATGCTTGTCAACTAGATAGGTATATGTATGTGTGCTCTATTACAACGAGAGTAATAAACAAGAGTTTTCCAATTTTTTCTACGTTTTCAAGTGATCTTCCATGTCGCAATCATAATAAGGAGCGATATCGTGGGAAATGGAATATTCTTTTTATCAGAGAAGTGTCGAAAACCAAAATACTCCATTTACTTATAAGATGTAAGGACAATGTAATTACCGAATGAGTGAGAGGATTCATATTTTTTAGCATTTAGCGGGAGAATATACTATACTAATAGGGGAATATACTACTGTTGAGAATTACAATGAGAATTACAGTTGCCAATTTTAAGCATAAAAGAAAAAAAAATGATTGTGATTTATTTTGCATCGATGTTGGTAAAATACGATGATTATTGATAAGATATGATATATATGTATACATAAACATTCTATATATATATATATATATACATATATACTTACTGATCGTTAAGATTATTGTATAATCTTATGCGCTCGAACGATGACAAATGTTCAGGAAATTTGTTTTTAACCCACTCGTTTCCGAACTCGTTACCTAAATATTTAATGAAGCAAGAGGAATCTTAGTTGCGTAAGAAAAAAAATGAAGTTAGGAAGTTAGCCTCTTGTTGGTTGGTTAGTTGGTTGAATTAGCAGTTTTTTTCTTTTATTAAATACAAAAGATGTTCGATTGATTCGAACCGCGCGAAAAGTAATTTATATTTAATAATAATTTTCGCTGACTATTAGGAAGCAGCGTTTTCTTGTATAAAATTTGCGAGGTTAAGGAACTAGCAAAACTGGGTCGCTCCATAATGTAGCATACAATTCACCGGCAACGACAAGTGTAAATTCATATTATTTTAAAATATAGTCAAAAAAACGCTACTATATAATAATAATAATAATAATAATATTAATATTAATATTAATAATAATAATAATAATTATGACATGAAAAGTTGATCAATCTCGTCTGTACTATGTTTATACATATTATATATATATATATATATACATATACATACAAAGATAATATAATTCGCAGTATAAATTCGTTAGATATAAGACTAATTAGCCGTACGTATATAAGTACTTTTAGCTACTTTGCCAACTACAACACAGTATTTATGGAAAAATTTTTTTTGTAATACGACGAAACGAGGAGAACAAATGTTTCGTTTGTAAGCTTAAATATCGTGCAACTTTGTATGAATGTATATTATCGTCGAACGTGCTTTCCGCGATGATTGCGTACTAAACTATTTACGAAGCTGTTGTACCTAAATAAGACGGTTATTCCAAAGCTTAATTAAGAGAACTATTCTTATCTTTACTGGACGACAAAAGAAGATATCGAAATCGTACTACTTTTTCTTTTTATTTCTACTTACAAATGCTCGCTCATTTTTTTGAAATTTTCTGCAGGTGCAAAGTAAATATAAGTCTTTTCCTCTATGATACTTGATAATCGATTAAATGATAGGTAACAAATTTTCAATAACAATAAATAAGAACGATAGTTTGCGTGCTCTAAATCCATTGCAATAAAAATTTCATTCGTCGTGTACGAAAAATCAATATGACGGAGTCTCAATCATAATACCCCTATGATGGTTACAAATGTACGACGGTATTATTAATAATAATAAATTTGTAGCAAATCTGTACAGAGCCAAATAAATCAAAAACTTTCATAAATCATCGAAGAATTATCTATTATACTGTTTATTTTATTATCTATATCAAAACGGGAACAGATACTAGAGAATTTTTCAAATTACTAGATTTTCAGATAAAATTATATTTTATTTCAATTTATTTTTAATTTTTAATTTTAAAATATATATTTTTAGAATACGATTTCCAATTTTCTCATTCAAATTTTATTCGTAATATTTTTTAATATTATGAAAAATACTCGATCTCTTCAAACTAACATATTTTCAAGAATTATATTTGTTATTTTTTTATCATTTTATATATTTTTATTATAAAAAGATATATAACATATATGTTATATAAAAATAAATAAAAAGAAATATATTTAAAATATAGAGAGATAAATTTATAGACAAAATATATATAAAACTATATTATACATTCTTTGCATATACATATATGGAATTAATCATCGCCATCTCTTGAGTTATCACATTTCTTTAAAGATATATCTTTTTATCATAAAAATAATCGAAAGATGGGATTAACCTGTAATTCTTATTCTGTTTTATCCTATCTTTGAAGAGATATTTTTGACACTTGAGTGATAGCGCTGACGATCAATTCTTATCTTATCTCTACCTTTCTTTTACTATTTTCTGTTCTTTTTTATAACTTTCATTCGCAGCACTCTGGAGATGGCGTTGATTTCAATATTTTTATCCTATCTCTATCCTTCTCTCATTATTTTTTGTCCTCTATATTTGCGCGCGTAATAAGCCAAATATAGAATGTCAATTCAACACACATTTTATCACTTTTTTTTTAAAACTAAGTGTTTCTTAATCTTTGTGCAAACTTTTAGAGATATTATATTTTCTCTTTATAATATCTATATAAAATACTTTCATGAACGTTCACAAGATATATATAAAATATTTATTCTGTTTGTCAATTATAATTTTATATTGAAATTTAGTTTTCAACTATTACTAATTTTGTAGTTTTCTTTTATGAATCAAAAAATGTATTAAATGTTAAATTTATTCTTTATCTTGTAATTTAATTGTAATTTAACCAATTAGTTAATACAATGAAAGGAAATTTTTGACAAGTAACGAAATAAATTTTAAATTAAATCTTTATTTTTTATACAACACCAGTTATAATATAATTAAAAATCGAATTTATTGATTAATTATGACATAAGAAATTTACTGCCAAAAACAAGTGATAATAAAAATTTGCATAAAAAATTTAATCTAGAAATTATAATATATAATTTGCAGTTAATAAAACCAGTAAAGTATTTTAGTAATAACTTAAGTAATAATACGTTGTGGATAAATACAATAAATATCTAATATCTACATTGTTAAATATATTTTAATTATAGATCGGGTATATTCAAAAGTTTCCACCATACGAATAAGTAATTTTTATTGATCCTCTATATTTCAAAGTATTTTCTTTTTATCAGTTATATAAATGTAACAGTCATTATCACAAAATCTCGTGAAACATAGTGACAGACAGGTATAATAAAATTAATATTTTATTTGAAAAATTGAGACATACATACAGATAACGCGAAAACAATGATAGCACATTGGTAGCACCGATAAATAGACAAACGTTGAAACGATAACGTTAAATTCAGCAACTACACACGAGCTAATTGCTCGTTCGATCAAGTAGTCTGCTGTTAACGGCAAGAAAAATGTATAGGAAATCTGTTAAAAAGAAATCTCATCAACTTTCTCCACATTATTATATATTTAGCTGCAACAGCTTTTTGATAAATAGTTTGAAGCACTTTTTCTCGCATTCGTTATATTTTATTTTTTTCTTCTTTCTTTCTTACTCTTTTTCTTTATGAAAGGCAAAGAATCAGATGAACAAGAACATTGCCCCTGTCAATCGTTACGACATATATTAGGTTGGAAAGATTATATATAAATATGAATATCGATCTGTGATTCAAATTTTTTTAGATTTTTCATAAAAAGACAAGAACAATTTAATTGTTGATCATAATCATTTGATCATTATCTTTTTCTTCTTTTTTATCATTTGAACCAAACTGTCTCTTTATTACATTATATTCGAAAATTGTCACGTACAGAACGCGATGAGTAAATTATTTTTTTACAATACATAATAAATAATGAATTTTTAAATATAGTACGTATACAGTTAAAATAATCGCATTCGCAACATGTCGTAATATAGACAGGTAAAAGGAACTATCGAAAATTTAGCGGACTAACTTTCATGACACTACTAACACGCTTTTTTAAATTTTTAGCCATCACATTATACTTTAAATCGATTAATTTATCAATTGTTTCAATTATAATTGTACATATATTCTCTCGACACTAACCAAAATTATTATAATTATTTAGTATGAATTATTCATGTACAGTCTTATTTGGTTAATATCAGTGAACTTTAATTTTAAAATAACTTAGCATAATGAAAAGAATACCAAAAAAGTATTCAGGGCAGTATTACTTTTATGTTTATAATCTTATATAAACATATAAGCTTTAACATTTTTCTTTTTGCAAATTAAAAAATAAAAATACTTCTTTTTATTATCATAAAATTTTGAATATAAAATAAAATCACAACCAAAATTTATTTTTATATAAAAATATTTTAAGAAATTTATATCATTCAAGTTGTTGATATTTAAAAAAAATATTCTTTTTAAATTCTTCAAATTTAATTTTCTTTTACATTGAAATATATAAAGTAAAAATTGACATTTCAATATTGAGATACATTATAAACTATAAATCAGGAAGTGTAATACCTCAGTCATTATTCTCTTCATTCTTCAAAAAAATTATTGAGATAATTTCATTTTAATTTCTATTTATTCCATCAAAAAACATTTTAACATACAATAGCGAATATTTCTCTTCCTATCTTTCTTTTTAAACCTGATAATTATATAACATTAAAAAACATTACTCATTTTTATTGCTATCTTTCAAACTATATTAGATATATAAATATATATGTATATATTATAGTTCCTAATTTAGTAATTCCATAAATATACATATTAAATTTATTACATGTACAGAATGAGCATATGTTTCTATGAATAATTATTTATTGCAGAATATGTAATTTTATATTATACTTTATACAAGTATCTGAGAAAGCATTATATCTTATAAAAATGTGAATAAATACTTCAATTTTATATATTTGTTGAAAATTTTTACTTGTAATTATTATTATTAATGAGGTTTGTCTTTTGATTTAATTTAAATATTGTATGATTATATATTAAAATGAATAACTAGTTTTATTTTATATAAGTATATAGCATCTACATTATTTTAATTAGAATGATGCAAGTTAATAATGTAATATATAAATATCTATTTATGATATTTTATCAAAAGTAAAGTACCTAGTTGTCTCTTCTGATATTAGAAATACTTGAAAATATATGAGACAAGAGTCAAATAATTTTAACATATCTGAAAAGTAACTTTGTTCAAATATTATTTATTTTCACACGATCAAAATTATTAATATTTAATCAAATTGAATGACATTATTTTTTTTATAAAGTTAAATACTTATAAAATATTTTGCAATTGTTGTATGCTTACTTATACAATTGATTATTAAATTAGTTACAATATCATAATAGTTAAATTATATCAATTAACAATATTATCTAAATAATGGTATCTATTTATTAATGAAATTAAATTGTTAATTTTATCATAAGTAAAATATAACTGTATATACTAACTGTAATATACAAAATGACTGAAAAAAAGATTAATATTATCGATTATTTTAAAGTGAAAAATAGTTTTGAAAAAACTTACATTGCTATGAAACTCTTTAACTTCAATTTTTTACAAAAATAATATTATCTTATTAAAGAGATAATTAGGTATTTCACTTCTGATCAAATATTATAATATTTAACATTCATATAAATATTCTATTCCAACTTGAATGAAATATATTTCTTGAAATATTTATGAATTACATATATATCTAAAGAATGAAATACATTCTTGTTTTTAACATAGATAAATATAAATATAATAAATGTAATTTTACATTATACAAAATGACATCTTTAATTAAGATATGATATAATTACAAAAATATTATTTATGAAACTTTATCAAATATCTTTAAAAATGTTTTATGCAAAGATATTACAAAAAATTCTATTATTGGCACTAGAAATTATTTTTAAGATTTTTTTTTTGTTTGAAATTATGGCGAGTAAAATAGATTTTCCTGTTGATTTAGTTATTCATATGTTCATTATGTCTCATCAATAGAACAATTTACAATTTGCCTTTTATATAAATTGATAATTTTATTGATGGAATTTAAATTTTATTCTTAATCAAAATATGTCTGAATTTTTATTTTATCACTGGCATTATTATTATTTCCTCTGATTATTAACTTTTTTAAATTTATTGAATTTATTTGCAAAATAAATCTCATTGATATAAAATATTGAAGAAATTTGATAAAAATAAAATTAAATATTTAATGAATAATTGAAAATTATAGTAAAGATAAAACATATTTTTTTTTTACTTTTCTAATGTACATTAATTATTTTAAATAAACATATACATCTAAAATTTTCATAAAAATTAATTTTTATTTTCATTTCATTATTTCATTTATCAATTTGATTGAAAGAAAGAAAATAAAAAATATTATTAAACCAAGAATTTTTTTGTCACAAAGTTAGTCCACTAGATCAAGATTCTTAGAATACTTCTTTTCTGCAAAAGTTCGTTTCTATTGCCATCGCGGTCCGCACAAGTTATTTTCTTAATTTCAGGGATTATTATGGTCTACGCTTTTGGCACAAAGATCGTGTCTGTGGAAACGATATAATAATTAGATTTGAGCTCGAGACAATTACTCGGTAGAAATTCTACTTTCAGGGACACCAGTCGCTAGACAGGTTTTACAGACTTTAAAACTTTGGATTTTAGGAAAGATTTTCATGAGGAGTTGTTTAATTGTGGAAAATCTTCACAATCTATATTTCTTTTTTTTTTTTTTTTTTTTTTTTTTTTTTTTTTTTTTGTTATCGACACGTTCAGGCTGACTCGAGATGACATGTTCGAAAAAATTCCATTTCGAAATATGATCGAGACAGTCTGAGGGCATCGCAGAAATTTAATCTTTATATATAATATATACGATAAAATTCAAAAAATACAACCATAACTACGTTAAATCGAACGAAAGGGAGGACAACAAGATATTTCTCCATATTACTTTCAAAAACGACGTGTCGAACGTGGAGCGTTTGAACAAGTTCTTTTATTTAATCAAATCAGCAATTAATATTAATATAAATATAATTTTAGAAGAAAAAAAAAATCAAAAGATTGCAGACATTAATAAACTGCAAATACAATTTAAATTTTCCATACACTTTTTTGTAGAATCTTGACGAAGAAAAGAAATTTTGAATTTTCTAAAATGACTCAATAATTTGATACCGATAAGGTAGGAACCGTCTATGAAAGTTTGCTCATTGATTCGTTCGACGATCGATATTAAGTTAATAAACATTTGAAAGAGTAACAACCGAATCGAGGAGATTTTTTTATATTTCTTTTTTAATCTATCTTTTAAGCAATTAGAGAGAGAGAGAGATACCTAAAAATTCACGAACAAGAATCGTGAACATAAAAATCGATACAGTTACGTTAGATTAGGAAAAACACGGTCGTTAAATGTCCATAAAAATTAATGCTTGTCGATCGACGATAATTCATTCCGAACATTGTACTTAAATCACGATGTTCACGTTGAAACGTCGAAACGACACGCAAACTAACATTTCCAACGATTCTAACGCGTACCTGACAAATTTTTATCATAAACTATAAATACACAATTAGATCTATATCGAGAATCGAATCAAGGCGATTAGTGTTTGGCAACGTACAGTCTAATTTGTCTATAGTATTTTGTTCGTTGCTCCACACACGAGCTGTCGAATTGGGACATGATCAACCACCTCGACGATCATTTCCTTCTAAAAGACCACCCTAATCGGTCTCTTTCCTTATTCCAAGCATCATTTACTTCCCTATCAAATTCTAAAAAGCTTCCTTCAGCTGTTTCTCGCTCACAGTTTCGCAACCTTCCTTTCTTCCTTTCTCATCCAGGAAAAAAAGAGCAATCTCATCATTTTGCGCCTATCATAGCCTGCAGATTAGATTATTCTTACTAATTCAGTAAAAAAAACCGAGTTTAAGCGATTAAAGACTTTAAGAGCCTCTCTACTTCATTCCTCCTCCACGCTGATGTCAACGGTCCTAACCCTAGACGAATCCGTGGGAAGCAGCTGAAGGCGCTCAGGCTCTACGCCGAGCATGATGATGCACATGAAACTCTTGCCGGACGCCTGGTCTCTCGGATAGATGGTGACCGGGGCGAATTTGTCCACGGTGCCGTCCACGTAGGCGCGGAGCTTCCTGTAAACTTGGGGGAAATGCCTCCTAAGCGAGACGCCCCTCAATTTCAGTTGCCTCTGGATGTTGCTGAAGCTGATCTCCCTGATCCGTTTCGGCGTGTTCTGCCCGTTGTTACCCGGAAGCGAGGTGAGCACCAACATTTCCGGCGACTCCATCTCCCTGGTGATGTTGCACGTGGGGGACGTGGACTGCTGCCTACCCTGCGGCGAGGCGGACGACGAGGACGTGTGGTGCCGGTTGGCCGTGTCCAGGTGTATCTTGGCGCACCTGGACACCAATTGCCGTTCCCACTTCACGGCCCCGCTCGTGGGCACCTCGCTCAC